ATAGGATTCGGGAATACTGAAGAAAATCTTACAGCAATGAAATTCCAACAGTGGCAGGCCCACAATTCGAACGAAAATGATGCAGCAGCTTATTATATGGTCGACCAAAATATTATTACTCCCATATAGAATATATAGATATATATTTCTAAGATAAATCTATATATGTATATTAATTGTAAGCCGTTGATACAGTAGGAGTTATATATATATATATATGTATGTATATAGATATATATGTATGTATGTATTCGTGTGTATGTGTGTGTGAAGTGATCAAGAGTTTGGCGAAATATATATAATGGAAGTTGCACTCAAGGATCATGTTTGACCTCAAAGGACTTTTTATCCAATATAAAATTAGCACTTGAAAAAGTTTGTAAATTCATCATATGAAATAGAAAACAAAATTATGGTGGAAAACTTTCCTAAGAGCATTGAATGCCGATGTCAAATTCTTTTCCTTATAATAGTTATCCACAGACGATATGCGTTGATGATTTATTAGTTTCAAAATTATATATCCATCAATGTAGCTAGCTAGTGAGAGGATTAAGAGTTTTGCATTTCTCATCATTTTTCTACTTTTTTCTATTAGTTCAATTAATTGTTTTTTTAAAAAAAAAATGTCAAACTTGCATAGCAATTAAGTACTGTTTTCAATAATAATTTGTTTTTTTTTTCATTTTTTTTGAAAGAGATTATTTGTTTGGATTACAATTTATAAAAATATAAGTTAATTTTATCTAGCAAACCAAGTGTGCAAAACATGTGATAAATGAGATTTTTTTGTTTTTTTTTGTTTTTGATGTTGATAATAAATGGATACTAAATCATAAATAATTCAACATTAATTATCACGAGGTCATTTACTAGTTGGATATTAAAAGCGAGTAGCTTGATTTGAGTCTTGTTTTTATTGAGAAAGCCACAGATGACCACCCACAAATTAATGGGATTGGGCGAATGAATTTGGATTTGTGACGACATTTTTCTACTTTTTTAGTCCAACTTCATTTTGGAAAAAAGGTTGAGAGTTGAAAGGGAATTGCATGCCAAATGAGAAAAATTATATGAGACAGCGAACTAATTAATTGAACCAAATCCTTTTATAATCAATTATTTTATTATTTGAATATTTTTTATTGTTATTTTTATGATTTTAATACTTGTTTGTGAGTCAATATAATATAATAAATTATTTTATTATTTCAATAAATAATTAATGAAAAATATTTTCATTTTAACTAGAAATAAAAAATAAATAAATAAACTATTATAAGCTATTGTTCTTTTGATTAAACCCGTAAATGCCCGTTTTATTTAAAAAGACAAAGTAGTTTTTTTTTAAGTGATAATTACAATCGTTAACTAAATATTATTTTTTAAATAATAAACAGCTAAAAGCAATTATGCTTTAAATGTATAGTAATACCAAATAGATATTAAATTTTTGAATTGAAATTGTTTTTTGAAATGGTAATAGAATTTTAATGACAAAAAGTCACGATTTTGATTTCTACCACTTTTATTCTTGTAATTAAATTGAATATATATATAGTGATGAAATTATATAAGTTTTAAGTCCAAATGATTTTATTTGTGTAGCGAGTTAATAGAAATTATTATTAACATCATTGCCCTTGATAGTAAATAATAGTTAAACATTTTAATAAATAAACAATTTTAAAGTTTATTTTTTTAATTTCTTCCTATTATTTCCTCTGGAATTATCAGCCATTGGATATTATTAATTTGATCCACATACCATAAACAAGGATATTTTTTTGCAAGTAAGATTTGATTATATATTTTGAGAAATTTTATAATACGTAAGAAGTAACTAGTAGCATACATATTAGTTACTCTATGGATCCACTTTGATGAGAGAGATAGACACAAAAAATGAGAGAGAAATAGGAGAGAGAAAATTAAAAAAAGTTGAGCAAACGTGAAAATCTTCTTATCATTTTTTATGGGTCCGAATATAATTCAATGTGTCTATCTTTCTCCTCGAATGAGTCCATGAAGTAACTATTATATATACTATTAATTACTCCTTGTGTATTATAAAATTTCTCAATAGCACAAATTCTAACTAGCATTAATTGTCAATAACTAATAACTTAATCATGCCCTAGAGTTAGTGATGGATATCAATTCAGTGATCATTAGATAATGACTAATGGGAGGCGATATTGGCACTCTCGTAAGTTAACCACACTCTTACTTTCTTTTTCCTTTCTTTTTTTTTTTTTCTAAAAAAATTGACCATTATGTATTTAAAAGTTTTTTATTTAATTTTTACTTTAAAAAATACCCGTTTTTATCCTTAATCGAATAGTTTACAGCCCCACTTTTTTCAAAAATTGCTTTGAACTTTGATCATTATCGTGCTTATAAAATTCATGATTCTGACTGGCTGAAGTTAGGTGGTAAATAGAAAGTTTTTTTCATTTTTAATCCTTCAATTTTTAAATTGTACATATTACTTCAAATAAACATATATTAGTCGGCTCTATGATTATTAACTTTTTTATGAAAAAATGTCCGTCTCTAACAATTATTTCTAACTTCACTATGAATAATAAATTAATAATGTCACAAGAAATGAAATCGCTGACAATTTCAAATTGTTTCTACATAAATAACCACTAAAGTTAAAAATAACAACCGGAACTTATAATAATGATGATGATGATAATAAAAAGAAAATAACAACTCTAATCAAAATGTCAAAATATAACAATTAAGCATTCTTACTATCATTATTTATAGAAAGAAACTTCTAAATATAGCCATCTTTCTTAAGAAGGCCAGACAAAAAAAATATATCAAGCATAAATCAAGTCAATTCTTCTTAACAATAAAAAATCTGCACAAAATAATAATAATAATAAGTCATAAAATATTATTGCAAATAAAGTAACTAAAAGAAATTCATTAGGAAAAAATATTAGTACAAAATTACCTACAATATTCCAAGCATCCTAAAAAAAAAAAGGGAAGTTCTTTTACAAAATTAACAATATAATTAGCATAAATACAAAGATAATTAAAAATAACTAAAATTATAACCATAAACATTAAAAATTATAGAGAAAATCCTTAATAACTTTCAAATGAATGTACCAAAATTATGGGGTGATAGCTAAAATTTTAAGAAGTGAATAGTGAAACATAACATATGAAATTTGCGAAATTAAGAAATTTAGTGAAAAAATAAATCAATACTCAAAACCTAATAATCAATAGCAAATCTAGAATAAATTGAAAAAGAACATATGAATAATGCATATGAATAATGTATATTATTCATGATAAACAAAACCTAGAAGTGTGTGTGTGTGTCTATATATATATATATATATGGTAATATGAATATAAAATTAAATGAAAATCACTGATAAAGAAACATAATAAATTTTGTCTTACCATTAAGAGAAGTTTGTGGGTTAAACTTGAACAAAATATTCTCCATGCCCAATTCTGTTGTAGATACAGTAGAAAATTCTTTCATGATGGAATTTTTTTCGTTGTGGGACTGTGAAGGTGTAAAGAAAAAAATTGTTCCGTATTATCAAAGGTAATGTTCAGTCTAAAGAAAATATAAGGAAGTGGGAATGTTGTTCACCTACATTGTTCTGTGTCACCTTCTATAACTAATAAGTAAAAATATTTTACTCATTATCCATTTAATAATCTATTTATTTTTTAAATGGATACTCATTCCATTTAATCATTATCCAATCCATTTAATTTAGAAGATTTTTTAGTCAACTTATTAGTAACCCATTTAAATTTTATGTTGACCCTTTTTGGGACCCGTATCCGTTTCAAATATATGGATATGGATGGGTTAATGGGTATGGTAACTTTTGTCATCCCTGCGTAGAGCACTCACTACGAAGATGATAAAAATAATTGTTTCTATTAGATAGTGTATCCCAAAGATACACAATTTCCCAGCTGCGTCATTTTCACTTTCAGGCTCCATATATGTGGTAGTTGGGAAAGATTTTGCGGGCAAATGACATTTGATGAAAGTGATTATCCTTTTGTTTCGTACTTTTCTTGTCAATCAAACAAGGCATGAATAAAACAGAAAAGGGGTACAGTCAGTCCATTTGCCACTGGCAAATAAAACGTTTTAATGCCAAAACTAATTGTTTTCTTTACTGCTGTAGGCTGTAGCTTCAAGAGAAATTTGTTGATGGGAAAGCCAGGCAACGAGTCTAACTCAAAAGGTTTCATTTTTGTGGTCAATAAAGGGTTTTTTTCTTTTCTTTTCTTTTATTTTATTTTTTGGTAAGGAATGCTTCGTGTATATATGGTTTTCTGAAGTCATCCAATCTTCTTTTTTTTTTCCAAGTCTGTTTTTAATGATTTAGGCTTTGATGAATACCCAAAATATTTTTCCAGCTTCATTCTCAGAAATACAAAAAAGTTTTAAAGCATGGCCTTCATTTAACAATAACCCTGCCTAAACCAACTGGTCATTTAGCTGTCAGAAAGATGCTATTACAAAATGCGATTTCAGGCTAGCCGCCCCCCTGCCCATCTTTTCCAAACTTCTGTTTGCCTTATTAAAGGCACAGGTAACATCACATTGTGCGCACGCTTCCATTCATAAACCATGATTTGGAGAAACGATGGGCCCACAAATTGCTGACTTTATAGGGTGATGCAGCCATGATATAGACTCATTTGTTTTTATACGAACAGAGGAAGCATCGCAAAACTTCCGAGGACACTAGAGGCTATAAAAGAACACTTGAGCCATTAATCAGGAGAGAAATCTTAGTCCTAGCTTTTGAAGAATTGACGTATGGTTGGAATATTCACGAGTCACATAGAGATGACAAAGAATGATTCCCCAACTTCACTAGGGGAATAAATACTTCTACGGAAAAATCACAATTACTTGATTATATCGAATGCCTATTTCTAGGCATATTTTATACAGTACTCTAATATTCCATACTACTACCCTACAGTAATCATTGATTGGGATTTGTATTACCAGCTAAACCACCATGGCGCTGCATAGCAACCACTAGCTCGCTACATTTGGGACAGCGGAATGATGGAGCTGCAGCACATCGTGTTCTAAGGCAGTAGTAGCAGTACCTACCAGCAGGAAAATTCGGAATTTAAGGGGAAAAAATCAAAGGCATCCCAAAAATTCAGCAACGTTGGAAAATCTACTTCAAAACTTCGCAAATTAGCAAAGTATTATATCCAAACATCTGATTGAGGTGGCATGTGTTAAGGAGAGAAATAAAGCAAAATGTAGACTTTGCCTGAGTGTTAGAACAAAATTTGAGCCAGGCATGCCCAAAGACGGGTAATGCTAGGGATTTTGGAAATGTAAATGCTATTTGCTGCCAAAGCCAGTAGGCTTACAAGGATAGAGAAATGGCAATTATGCCCTAGGCTTTTGGCATGCAGTGTGAAGAAAAAGTTTAGTAAAAAATGTGATCCACTATGTTAAGACCCTAACCAGTAAGATAAAAGCAGTTGCCTAAAGACTTAATCAAAGTAAGGAGGAAACGAGTTGTATACCTGTGCTGACAGGGAAGAGCAAGAAATGGAATAGTTGGGATTGCCTGGCAAATGGGGCAAGTATCATCATCTACTTTGGAGCTTGAAGATTTGTCCTTTGAAAACGGGCTAAGAAATTTTTTAATGGATGAAGAGTTAAGAAGAGGTAGAAGCAGCAGCAACATCTCCTGCACATAAGTCAAAGAAGTACCATAACACATTTATAAGGGCAAACAAAATTATGGATGGTACATAAACTTTGGCACTTCAAGCAGTAGCCAGAAGACACAAAACTTCAATCTCGTGTATTAACAACATTATGCTGTTTGCTATGGATTATGCTACAGAAATAAACTTTTTGGGCAATGGAACTGCATTCTCATTAACTGTTAATTCACATAACTAAGATTAGCTTGCTGTTTTAACAAGACTATCACTGAAAATGAGGTTCCAATGTCCAAAAAGTATAGCACTCAAATAAACATCATACATTGTTAATTCAAAGAAACTAAGTACACACTAAAAAAACACACACATCAAGGGTACAGCTTGAAGTTGGTCAATCACAAAAAGAGGGTTTATTGATCATATTGGGGTAAACTATATTTTTACCCCTGCAGATTCAGCAACGTCCACTTCAGCCTCTATAGATCAAAATTTCCCACTGTTAACTCCATAGTTTCCCTAAAGTTCTAATTTGGGCCTTAGCTGTTGAATAGCAAACAACACCTCATGAATGCTCACTTTTTCCAAATTTATATTTTCGTTTTTTTCCTTCTAATTTTTCTATTACTTTTTACTCCCATAACCTCGTTGAAAAATGTGACTTCCAATAAATTGTGTGCCTATAATTGCTAGATTAGTGTTTGTTTTCTATAAGACATAACCCCACTATACATTATCCTTTTCTGTTAGGGATATAAAATAATCATGCTTAAATTTGCTTGCCTGACCACAATCCAAAAATAACAACGGTGCAACTGTTTATACATAGAACACCATCCTTTTAGGAACTCCAAAATAGAGCTTTAAATAATAATCATTTATTCTTTTCAACTCTTTCCTCCTCAACCCATCTAAAACAAGCCTCACTCTGGTCACTCTATGTGAATTTATTGAGATATCCAGATGAAAAGCAATTTTCTTCAACCTGGCTCAAAATATCAATAGGTTCAAAAAGTTAAAACTTTGCATAAAAATTTCCATGCAACAACACATTGCTCTTAACTTTATATCTAAGGACTGTAACTTCAACAGGGACAGCCAGGTGTATATGGGGGCTCCAACTTCCTTCAAAGAAACCCAAATAAAGAGTAGTTAAGGAAGGAGAACTAAGGACCAATCTGACATCGCAGCACAGACTAATACAGCACTTAAAGAGGTGCAGGACAAGACACTTCAGACGACGCTTGAAAAATCTCACACTATTTACTAGCCCTTTCTGTTATTGAGTATTACTAATTATAGAATTCAACCACAAATGAAAAGGGAAACAAAACAAATCATAACAACAGCAAGAAGAGATCCTTGAAAGTGGGAGAAAGATGCTGATCCAAAAGGAGCCTAGAATGCTAAATTTGACAAGAAAAATTAATTACCGAAAATTCATTCCACACTAGTTGGCGATTCATGTACTCAAAGCTAACTGCTCGGTTCATATTAGGACTTCCATAGACAAGCCTTGCTTGCAAAAATCTTTCAATGAGGTTTCTAAATCTGCATTAAAACCAAGACAAAAATTTTAAGAATTGTCAAATACAATGACATCATTAAGGGGATAATCTTCTCGCAACAATGGATTCTCCCTTCATGATATCTCATGCAATAGTAATCAATCCATCTTGATAGTCAAATTAGGCAGATGGGAAAAGAGCAGATATTGGAATTAAACAAGCAAATGTTAACTGAATTTGCATTTCCCCAAGTAGTTGTGTGTGCTTCCTCTCATAGAAAGAGAATTTACAAGCACATCTTCACCTCGTACTAACAATTCTTGTGGAGAAATAAAATCAAGAAACCATACTAGAAAACATACCGTCCAGTGTAAAGAAATATTAGTAGGTTGCCAAATGAAGCAGCTTTATAAAGTCCCTCAATACGCTGTATCAAAATCCATGCACGTCGTGCCAGTGGCCTCTGAGAAATACACAAAGAAATCAGTAAGTACTTTTTTATCATCCCCACCATCTCCAGTGAATTGTTCTTCAGGCAAAAAAAACAAAAAGCACACCGATGATAGCAGCACCTGTTCAGAATCACCCCATCTACGAAAAGCAGAGAAGGACTGTAAGCGAGCCCAGGTGTACTGACCACCAACAGTGGCAATGCAATACCAAACTTTCTGTGCGATGGTCAATCCAGGTCCTTCCAAACCTGTTCTAACTGTGGGCAAAATAACACACTGCATAAGTTAGAATATCAAAGAGGGTGAAGTAATGCTGACATGAAGAATCATTAGGAAGCTTCATATGTGCCTTCCTCAGCTATAATTTGAAACATGTCTCTTGGGCCTTTAACTACTTCGCACGTCAGATATGAAAGTTTTGTCTAAGAACATATAAAAGAACATGATCCGTTAGTGAACGTGTATGGAATATCATTTCAAAGGGGCAAACAGATCACAAATCACAAACTTCTGCAATTCCAGCATGATCCCCAGGAAAGGGAATCATGGTTAAGACAGGGTATATACGAACATATTAAAATTTATTTAACAGCTCTACAGGAGAAAAATAGGTGTAGCTGTCATTTCCATCCATTCAATTTCCAGAAGGGCATTTATAAACCCAACAGTACTCAACATGACAGTTAGCAATCTCAAAGTAGACAAAAATACATTAGAAAATGTAAATCCAGTTCATCAAGAAAGGAGACCCATCATCAAAGTATGTATAAAGCGAGGAAACTTCTGTTATCACATAATTTAAGTTCAAGTTATAACGAATGAATGCACTGAGAGATGTGCAGGAAGCAAGCCCACCTACCCACAACCCCCCCACCCCCAAAAAACCCAAAATAATAATAATAATAATTCCCATTAAAAATGTCTCTCCCCAAATTCTGGGGTCAATGGAAAGGAAGGGAATTGCTTTCTTAACTCCCTGTTATAACCTTATTACTTCTTGAAAAACCAATCTCACCTTCCACCATCTAAGGAGATGCATGTAATCTTGTAATTAATGCATTTCCCTTCCATCCACAAATAACAAGAGAAAATTACTTTTCATTCCCTCTTCATAATCTAAACAAAGAAAGGTAATTATCCACACACAAAAAAAAAAAAAAAAAAAAAAAGCACCTTAATTCCCCTCCCTTCCATCCCTCCTAAGTTCCCAAACCCACTATCATAGTATGTAATCAAAATTTAGAGGCCAATCTACCAGTCAAGTAATCACCTAACACTGAGCTACTTTCATAAAGCAACAACAAAAGCAAGGAATGTGCAGATCTGCCTACCTTTTCCAATTGATTCCATTGCACGTTCATCTCTGTACCTCAGATTCATGAGAGCAATTCCTGGAGTAGGCTTATCTACCCAAATGGAGAACCTCCAAATGAGAAACTCAAGGAAAGCATCAAGTTCTGGCTCATATTGAAATAACATTCCTGGCTAATCCCAATAAATGGAAGAAACAAATTAAAGATTGACACCAGCAGCATCAGATCAACACATTCACTAGAATCATCTTCCAAAATCAAAGGATGGACGAATTAGGATACCTTCATCAGAGAGAAGACCTTAACCAACTGTTCCTTTAACATGGCTGACATTTCAATGTCCAATCTCGCAGCATCAAATTGATTAACTCTAGATATTGAAATTGGTATCGTTGACTGCCACAGAAATTAAAAATAAAAAGAACATGATCCAAACAGTAATCATTCGTGTACTAAAGTAGCACAAAATCTTTACTGACCCAAACCCAGATGGGAAAATGCAAACTTTACGCTATGTGTTGAAACGAAACGAGAAAAGTTACGCTTTGCACTCTATAATCTATATTGGGACTCAGAAAAACCCTCGAATATTCCCATATAAACTTATTTTAGAAATTAATTACTTAAATAATCCCCTTACTTGAACAAAATTCAGAAATTTAATTTTGATTCAGCTATAGCAAACTTACATCTTGACAACTAAAAATCCACAATCTTTAGAACCCAATTAGCAAAATAAATATATTAAATTCTTCTTATTCTTGATTTTGGAACAAAATTAAATTCTCGGGTAGATTGAAAAAACTTGAATTCAGCATGGAGCTCCAAGTAACAAGAAAAATTACAAAAGAAATGAATTTAAAAAAAAATATATATATATATATATATAATTGTTACTAAAGGGAGGGTACCTGGTGAGAAAGAGCAAGAGGTTTCCATTGAGGAAGCAATTTTAGGTAAGTGAGAAACCATTCATCCTCTGGTGGTGGTTGTTGTGAAAGATTAGAGCTGCTCATTTTTTAAAATATATTAATGATGATAGTGTTGGTGGTGGGTTTGCTAGGGTTTCTCTTCTTGTTGATTGCTTCAAAGACTGAAGCTTTGAGAGTTAGAGAGAGGATTCATGATTATGCTCCGCACTTTGACAAACAGTTAGATGGGCACGCTGCAACACTAACTATTAGCTCTGTTTTTTTTTTTGTTTTTTTTAGGAGTTCGAGAGAGAGAGAGAGAGAGAGAGAGATGTGGGAGAGTAGTGACAGTTATTAATGACGGATTAGAAGGGTAATTTGGTCTTATTACTTGTTTGTTGAGCTTAAAACATGTGTATCTCTTCTTCTATGATCTTTCGAATCTAGTTTTTGGAGATTCTAAACTTACGTCAGCAGCAGGCAAGACAACAACCGCATCTTCGTACTGTTCTTCTTCTTCTTCTTCTGCTTCTTAATAAAGAGTAACGTTTTTATTTTTTTATTTTTAGATATAATAATAAAGAGTAATGATAAATTTTTAAAAAACAAAAAAAAAAAAATTAAGAATGATTAACCGTTTACAAAATTTGCCTTTCGTTCAAGAGAGATCTGACTCCACTATAATAGATTATAAGAATGAATCTAAGTCATTCAATTGTTTGATCCATTGATAATGTTAGAAAAGGTTTCTCTAAAGGTTTTTATATTAATTTTTTAACATAAAAATGAGCAATAACTCATGATTTTTAATTATTAAAATTTTAATATCATGTTAAAAAATAACATTAATAAAAAAATTTAACTGATAGTTTTTTTTTAAACAAAAAATGATGATAAGACATTATCGAGTTAGACTATGCATTAATTAACAAAAAAAAAATTAAATAATTTTAAAGATACACCTCTCACGGTCAACCTGATGTATTTTTGTTTATGAATCCTAATTTTAATATTTGAATGCTAAAAATCAATGAAGAGAGCATCTCTCTTTTATCATCTAACTAACTTCTTGAGTTAACAATTTTCTTATCATTTAGTGTATTTATTTATTTATTGTAAAATAACATTATTGTTTTTTTTTTTATGACTATAAATTTTTGTACATGTTTGAGTATATGATCTATTGCCATCTCCATAAAAGATAACAGATAAAAAAGTAAATTTTAATTTGCTTTCTTGAGATATATAAAGTACATAATTTTTAGACGAGAATGCTTGTTTTGTGTAAAACGTATTTTTAAAAAAATATTTTTAGCTTATTAAGTTTGATAAAATAGTTTATAAACAATAATTCACTTACAATAGTATCCGATTATTTCAACCACCTCCCAATTTGACCATAATTGCCTTTGCCACCGCCGCCACCACATTAACTATCACTGCCACAGCTGCTGCCAGCACTGCCCCACCGCCACCACTACTTATCATATCCACCGTAATCACCTCCATCTCCACCCACACTGTCACCCCTATCACCGCGTCACCACCACCATTACCTTGTCATCACAACACATCATCAACATTCTACCGTTATCGTATTTTTACATCGTTACTTATCAAATATTATAAGATTTTTGCTATGTAAAACATTACACGAAACATATTTGAGATCCTATATAATTGGAAAGGTAATTTGGGGATTAGATAAATTCATCATCGTTTGGGAGTGTAAATTATTGAAAAGATTCAGACTCTAATAATGATATTGAATGTATTCTCTAAAACAAAAAAATAAAAAATAAAAAATGAAGACATGATAATGAGAGAATCCAAACGTATATTTCTTGAATTTTGGATCTGGTCACAGGGAAAGCTCGTTTTGCATCTCGATGCCATAAAGCACCATAGAAGAGAGTTGAGTGGTTTCAATACAAACCAATTGCTACCAAACTCTACCTTTGACATTATATACAACTCCTTCTCCCACCCTTCCCTTTTCTCTTTCGTTTTCTTTTTCTTTTTGGTTTCCCACATTACACACAATTATAAATCAGCTAAGAATTTTACACTACATTTCCCCCGAGAAAAAACAAAAACAAGCATCCTTACACAAACAATTTCTCCAAATTACCCTTACAAACCTTTCCAAATTCCGTCTCAACCTCACTAGCCAACTCCACCTCGCCCATCCCTTTTAGCCCTCTGCGCAACACCTTAACCACATACTCATCAGCCGTCCAAGTGTCCCCACACCCACTCCTCCTCAACATCCCACAAATCCTAACCGTTGATTCCTTCCTCCTGGCCTCAACCACCCCTCTAATCACCCTCAACAACCCCCTATCATTCCCCCACTTAACCCACCTCTCCCCTTCCTCCAAATCACCGACCAACCGGTCAATGTCGTCGAACAATTTATTCTTGGACAGTGCGAAGATGACGTCAGCGTAGACATTAAGGTCAATCTGGTCCGGGTATTCTGATCGGAGGGTTGAGAGGACTTGAAGGGCCAGGGAGCACAAGTCTTGACGTAGGAGCTCGCGTATGATCGAAAGGAGGTCTGATTTAATCATGCGCGTTAGGTTTGGGAGGTTTTTAGTGGGGTCTGATTTGTTGTTGTGGACACGTTTGAGGGATTGGATGGCGAGGATTGCTTCAGTGCTTAAGATGCGGCCTCTGACAAGAGGTCCGCGTTTGGAGCGTGGACCGCAGCGTACGGGAGTGTAAGTGGAGGGTTTTGAGAGGTTTAGGGTTGTGGGTTTCGGAGAGAGGAAACGTGGAGAGGTGAAGTTTGAGTGAATAGAGGAGGAAGCCATGGAAGCGGACAAAAGAGGAAGGGAGTTGATGAGGATCAGGTAGCGAACAGAAAAATGATGCTTTTAAGGGATTTTATTGGCTGAAAAGACGATTCTGACCTTGTAGGTGTTGCTAAAAAGAAAGGAGAAAACGTCGACAGCAGGATTCGAACCTGCGCAGGCATAGCCCAACAGATTTCGAGTCTGTCTCCTTAACCACTCGGACATATCGACGATTTTGCTCTCTCGAATGAAAATTAAATATATGATAATTATATCTTATATTTGACTCTTAAGTTTGAACTTTATCTGTTGTTCGCTTGCAATTTGTAAACCATGTTTTTAAAATTTCCTTTCCTAAATAAGCTTTATTATTTTTCGCTGTGTGCGATGGGCGGAAGGAGATATCGGTGGCAATAATTACATTTGCCCTGAAAAAATAATATCATCACTAGACTTGTTTTTCTCCCTCTTTTAATTGATTGTTTGGTTTGGTTAGTAAATAAGATTGGTAACGTTATTTCTTGTAAATGCAACTTAATTGAGAATTTAATTAATATTGATGCGTAAAAGCTGTTTTGAAAATATCATTGCGGTTAAGACTTTAAAATAAATTCAGTCCGAAGCGAAGAATGGTTAGAACCGTCCTTTAATCCGTATTCTTGCATAACACACAACACACGCAAGGAATAAATCACAGGTCAAACTTGGACCTCTAATGGGCCGCGGAGAAACGGCCTTCATCCTTCATTGATGGATATGAACACTTCGGTCCATTAAAATAGGCCTACATGGCCATGACTTCCAAATTCCGAAGCACTTGAAACGAGATGCAAGTGCAAGATATATTTTAAATTTAGGGCACGTTTTAATTTGTTCCTTTGGGATTTCAAGAGTTTCTCAATTTCTTTTCTGAAATTTTGTTCTATAGGTTATTTTCTTGAACTTCATTAAAAGTTCAATTCATCATTTCTATCTATTAAACTATCATACTTAATGATATAACATTTTTTATGCTTCAATTGACTTCTTAAAATATTAAAAAATTCTCAATCAAGTATTTATCTTTCAATCATATTCAAATTTATAAAATTCATCTCATCAATGTTTGAAGGAAAAAAAATATAAAAAGCTGTATTATTTTAATTATGAAATGCTATATCATTAGTTATTAGTTTGAGTTTATTAATTTAATATGATTTGAAGGATTAATATGAAAATTTTAATTTTATTATACTAAACTTTGTGTTTTTTTATACAATTAACACATGTTTTATATTTTTTATTTTTTGAAAGCGAGAATATAAAAAGATGATGCCAAGCTTTGTTATTTTTTCCTTTTATCAAGAAGCTATGTTAGCTTAGTATTAGATTGTTATGATTCTGTTAAACCATGCAAGATTTATAGTTTGATTTTGTGTATTTTTATTAATATTTTTTAATATGTTAAAAGTACATAAATTTGAGACAACAAAATATATCTATGTACATATACACATATGTATGTATGTATACAAAATATATATATATTGGAAAAAACAAAATACTTAGTATGATTGAAGAACATGTGCTTAAAAGATTGGATTTTCAGATTATCTTAGTCACTCCTCTATAATGAGAGGACTCATTCTTTTTTTGGGACTCTAGGTAGCAGAAATGTAATTATGAAAATTAATTTTCAGAAAGCAGTTCATGCTATCAATAATGAAATCTTGGGTACTCATCCATATTATAATTAACATCATCATTGATATTTGTTGATTATATTAATGCCAATGTACTATCTCACTCAACCATATTTTGAGAGAGAAAAATCGTGGGGCAGACTTTATTCTTACTAGAATTGGCTCTTTTGGTGACACTCTTCTCCATATTTGACATCAACCACTTCCAAATTTTGCTGAGATGCTGTTGGTATTTGTTTTCTTAAGTCTTAGTTTCTTTGTCTTCTTTTTCTACTATATAAAGTATGCATGCTTAGTTAAGATTTTTTAAGAACTTCAAAAATTCAATTAAAAAAATATATATTACATCATTGATTATTGATTATGTTAGGTTAATAGATGGAATTAAAGAATTGAAACTTACGTAAATTAAAGTTCAAGGGGTGATTGATACAAATGAAATTCATGAGAAAAATTGAGAAACCATTCAAATCTCAAGATATATAGTAAATTAAAATTTACCCTTAAATTTATATGATAAATTTGCAAATTTATCTTCGAAATAGTCTTTTTAATATCAGCCACTGCCCCGTTTTCCTCAAGGAATCGATCAATTTTCATTAATTAAATTAAGATATTATTTTAATGCTGTTTCTTCTTCCTTGAGATTCCAGAAAAGCTATAATAGGAGAATGTACACAAGCCTGGCAAATGTACCACATCATTTAAGAGCATATGCTATGCTGCAACCAGCTAATGTATCTGCATTGCAGGATTATCGTACTCAAAATGGCTTAAACTTAGTTTTCTCATTAGAGGTATACCTTTCTCATCCTTTCAACAGATGATCATGCATGGGTGGAGTACTGATCTTCTAGAAATTAAAGCTAAAGAGCTTCGCATATGGTCCACAGGGCCATGACAGAGCAGTGCCATCCTAGCCAAAATGTTTTTAAAATGATCGATGACTAATCTATCCCACTAGTTTGAGATTGATTTCTGATTGACAAAGAAATTCCGTATGGAAGTTTTATTTTATTAATGAACTTTTTATTCTACACACCCCCTTTAATTTGTCCTTTTATGTACGTAGGCACTTTTCAGCAGCTAAAAAACTCCATCACCAAGTTAATTCATTTGTGATTAAGCAGGATCAGGATAATATTGATATATTAGCCAACACCTATAATATGAATCTAGTCAGAATCTCGTGTCTATAATTGATGATATATTTATATTTTTATACATAATCATAGGTATCATCCTAAAGATTTTAAATTTCAGTTTCCATGTAATTGTGATAAGAATATTTTTAGATAAAAAGAAGATATGATGTGTGAGCACAATGTCCTAATATATATATATGTTAAGTTAATTATTGAGAACTGGTGTGGATAGAAACTTGCATTATAGGACGCTATGCACATAATGGTCTCATTAGCCGGTTAGCAAGTTGAAGTCAAGGGGGCAACGTCTTTTACAAGGGTTGGAAGGTGGAATTCTCAAAAAGTGTATAGAATTTTAGGCCAGGTATATAAGCTTGTCAAACTTTTTTTACTATAACTATAGTTGTCCACACTATAAATAAAAACAACATCACTTGTATTTGTAAGTCGTCACTTGATAAAACTTTAATAAGAAATCCTAGCGCAGTTATGAAATATAAACAATTGTCGAACCACGTAAATCTCTCGCATTATGTGATTGTTTTTTCCTTTCTATTTTATTTTCTTACTTGATTCATTTCCTAAGATATATTTTGTTGGGATTCTTTGCTATTAATCGGCTATGAATTAGGTCTGTAAATCAATGTAATTAGCTATATGTTTGTTTCCTATTTAGAATAGACTAGGCAAGTTTTCTCCTTAAATTAGGAAACAAGTCCTAATATTTAGAACTCTTTTTATGTATATAAACATGTGTTCTAGTATAATAAAATTCGGGTCATTCAAAACCTAATTATTCACATGGTATTAAAACAACCCTAGACACTCCCTGTTCTTCCCACGGTCGTCCTAGGTCGGTTCTTCACCTATGGTTTTTTTTAGTAGCCCTCTACATTGCTTATTCCAGTAGTATTCATTAACCAATCCATCTTTCATCTTATTCCCAACAACAACATCGAAGACCAAACATGACAAACACTAACAAATCTTCTATTGAAACCCCAAAATCCTTCGATATTGAAACTGTTGTGTTCATCCGCACCCATCACCATCTACAAACTGAATGGTAGAAATCATATCCAATGGTCTCAATCCTTCGTGTTTCATATTCGCAACAAGGAAAAAAAGATTATCTAATCGAAATATCACCAAACCAAATAAAAAAGATGCTTAATTATAGGATTTGTAAGAGAGATAGCGATCGAGTTACGTCTTGGTTGGTGAATTCCATAGAGCCATATATAGGAGAAAATTTTCTCCTATATGAAATTGCTATAGAATTCGAGAAGTAGCAAAATACACTTTTTTCTCACAAAGACAACACCCCCGAACTAGTGGCAATTGAGAGCATCTTACACGATCTTCGATAAGGTGATTTATCTATGATCGAGTATTACAACAAACTCTAACAAAGTTGGCGACAATTGGAAGCTTTTGTGAAATATTCTTAGGACACTACTAATGATCTCAAACAGCGCAAAAAGATCATAGACAACAAGACGGTCTACAAATTTTACTAGGGCTCGAACTCTAGTATTGATGCTATAAGAGAAGGATATTTAGCACAAAGCCATTACCAAACGTACATGAAGTCTTCCATGAGGTTCGAAGGGAAGAAAGCGGACGTCATTTAATACTAAGGATAGAAAAATCGATTGCTTAGTGGTGAGTCATCGGCCTTGACGGTCCAAAATCAAGCTGCAACCACGTAGAAGAAGAAGACCATAGTGTGAACATTGCTGCTACCCTAGTCATACCAAAAAAAACCTACTCGGACACTCTATGGAAAACAAGCTAATTGGAAGCCAAAAACGAGTAGCAAAGGGTAAAATTTGAGGCTATATGGCCAATAATTTAGAGCAAGCTACAAAAAAAAATTGATGGATAAAAAAGGCTACTACCATCATAATAGAATCCACCGATTATTGGGTCGGGTTCTATAGCTCGAAAAGGTGATTTTCTTAAGGTTTTGATTGTCAAACAAAAGCTCTATAAGTCTTAGATTGTAGACTCTAGTGCTTTCAATCACATGAAAGGAGATAGATGAGTTTTTCATATATATTCTTCCCATAATGATACTCTCACGGTTAGAATTACGGATGGTTATTTGGTAAAAGTGGAAGGGACTAGTTCGGTTGTGGTATCTAGGGACGGAACATTTAAATTTGTTCTATATGTTCCTAATCTATAC